CCCCCCCGACCGACCAGAGCTCATGCATCTTTGTCCCATGTCCAATTTCTAATATTAATACTACCCTCTTTAATAGGACCCTGGTTGTCGTGAGGTGGGCCCGGATTATACCCTTTGGGCTTTTATGTTCAGTTTTGTTATTATCCAGTCTATATGGGCCTTTGAGTTTGGCCCAATTAAGGTCTCGAAAGCCCGTAAAACTGCCAGCGCTATCAGTCGATGACCTAGTCCCAACGGCTACTTTTTCCAACGGCTACTTCGCTCTATTTCCATCTCAGCCAACGGCTAGTTTCTCCCAGAGCCTCCAACGGTCACATTTTTTTCATGCCTATATAAAATACCCATCCCGTTCACGCCAAGAAGCAACTTTTTCCATCTCTCTCTCTCTCTCCATATCTCTCTCTCCCCCCCTCTCTCAAGCGCAGTTTTGAATTCCTCCCTGCAAGATGGAGACTCCTTCATCGACAAGAAGAGTTACGAGGTCACAGACACTCTCTGCTATGAACAGCTGTGGCGGCAAGATTCACTCTTCATCAAGTAAGACATGTTTCTCTTTCTATCTCTTTTTCCCCAAAAAAAGATTGATCTATACGAAAAAAATTCAGTCAATCGCCTGATATTTGGTTTATGTGAAAATTGGTGAGAGCCAGATTCTTGCTCTCATCAGATCCAAAAAAAAGGGATTATCTTCCTTTTTTGTTCTTATCTTTTATGATTTTTTTCCCTTGGTACCCTCAAAGATTGTATTTTTTTCATTAAAGTCGTTAGTTTTTTTTTTTTTTGGTAAACAAAGTCAGATTTTATGGGGAGTGAAAGCTGAATTGTATCTGAATCCGGATGGATCTTGATATTGAATATCGATTGATGCAGAGAAAGAAGATGATACAGGAAACAGTCAGATGAAATCGAGGCAAAGGGGCAATAAGGACAGATCTGCGCTGATAGACATAACGAATGACTCGCCGATAGTGGGAGTGGCCATGCAGACTCCATCATCGGACATGGCGACTAAGAAGAAGAGCAGAAGGATAAAGAGGACGCCTGGTTCAGGTGAAGCCCTATTGAGGGGACAAGTCAAAACCCTTTTGCAGAAGGTTGAAGAGGAAGCTGTCCTTACAAAGATTTCGACTGTCCCTTTCCACCATCTGGTCAGTTCTCCCATGGGACTTGTCGCCCCGACCCCAGCCAACACCCCTCAACTTCCAAACTCTGACATTGTGATTGCTCCTTCTCCTGCTCTTGAGGAGGATCAGTTCATATCCACTCTGCCCAAACTCGAAAGTTGCTTGATGAATGGGGATCATCAGGAAGACGAAGTGGGTGGCATCTGTGAAGGGCTGAAGAGTTTGAACATAACAAGATCTTTGCTTCTCGACTTCTCTGATAAGTCAGAGTCGTCACTGGACTCCTCCCGCTGCTCCTCCGCGGTCACCCACACGGGAGAGGACGACTCTTCGGTCTGGTCGATGCTGGTCAATGCAGGCACCACAGACGGAGATGATGATGGTGATGAACAGGTATCTTCCTTCAAGGGAGAAGAAGAAGAAGAAGAAGAAGAGAATAAGAGAGCGGTGGTGGAGTTTGAAGGGAAGCACACGAGATTTGTATACGACAGTGATGGCGAGGAGATGGTGGAAGAACAGAGTGTAGATGTGCTGCGTTTGAAGGGATTGCCCACTCCTCAGGGAAAGCATTTCAGATTTGCTGAAGAAGAAGAAGATTCTTAAACTTGATTTGGATCTTATGGATTTTGAACATTTATGTTGTTTTCTTTCTCAGTCACGAAGCCGTGATTGGCACAAAAAATAACAATTTTTTTTTTGTCTTTGATATTATTCGTAATCGCATGTTCTTCCACCCTTTAACTCGGAATGCCAACTCTCGCCGAAATAAAATTCGGAGTATTCTCTGTCGTTGTCAACTCTTACAAAATCTCTCTGGCATTGCCCCCCCTTTTCTTCTCCCTTCCTTACAAAATCTCTCTTCTTCAACCCCCACATCCCACATGTCTTTGTCAACTCTCTCTCTAGATCTCTCTCTCTCTCTCTCTCATTCTCTCTCTTTATCTTTCCCCCACCTTTGCCCCCTTCATATATATGTATGCATAGATGTATGAGATATGCTGGTTACTATTCTCTGTCGCTTTGGTGTAATGGATATTTGGTGTATACATACACATGTATGATATATATATATATATTCTCTTCAAATTTTACAGGATAAGCATAAATGGATGCAATTGTGTGTGAAGAGTAACCACTTCATAATGGTTCATGTATACTGAATCAATTTGGGTTGTAACGCCATATGAAACAAATAGCTATTTCAATAAAACATTTTAGCAGTAAAATTATTAAGTGTATATATTTACAAATAGTACATTTATACTTGGTAAAATACATGATGGTAATAAAATTTTGTTTGTAGTAATATTGAAAAATATGGAAAGTTATATTTGTTATGGAATTATATTTCTGATAGAATTAGTAATAATGCAATTTTGATAGGGTTACCGTGTCAATATTTTGCGGGATAATCCATAAATGTTATTTAATTAACCAGATATAGTATATAAATATATATAGAAATAAATATAGAATAAATTTAATCTTAATATGAAACTACGAACATTAATCCTATCATATTCATAATATAGATAACTATTCGTAATACCCAAAAAGGAGAGAATATTTTAAATATTTATTTATTCATGGCATAAACTCTTAATGATCATATTGATCGCACTGTATAGTCCGCGTCAGCTCTCGCCCCCTATATATGTAGTTGGGGGATGTGTATACACACGTAAATAAAAAGAGAAAATGTGGATAAGGGTTCCGAGGAAGAAAGGAGATGGGATGAAACAGATGCTGCTGAAGAGATGCTCGAGCTTCGGAAAGAAGAACAATGGCGGCTGCGGCCATGGCGATGTCCCAAAGGGCCACTTCGTCGTCTACGTGGGAGCCTCCAGGTTCCGACACGTGCTCCCCATCCCCTTCCTCTCCCATCCCATCTTCCAGGTTCTAAAATGTTCATCCACTTATATACTTGCTGATCATGCATTTTTAAATCAATGTATATAATTCATGTCGAATTCTCACGTATGCATGGATTTGTGTTTGGGCCTAAAACCCTGGATTTCAGATGCTGCTCGAACAAGCAGAGGAAGAGTTCGGGTTCAGACATCAAACTGGCCTCACCATTCCTTGCGAAGAAGATCTGTTCCGTTCTCTCCTCGCTTCCATCACATGAATCTAGCGACGATCGTTTCGGTATTTGGTTCGGAAATAATTCGGTTAAGTTTTTTCCGGTTCTACAAAAATATGTACCAATCGATTATTATATAATCTTCGGTTCGGTTCGATTTTTGTTCCGGTTCGGTTCTAGATTTTATTAAGAAAGTTTTAGTTTTTTTAAGAGATTTACAGTTTCCCGATTTTTTTTAGAAATTCAGTTCGATTCGGTTTAAGAATGATACCGTATTTTTCAGTTTGATTACGATGAACCGTACCGAAACATTTACCCTTGAATGAAACGATCCGTTCGCTAGTTTCATTCCTTTTTTTTAAATGTTTTTTTTTATTGGGAGATGAATTGCTGCTCGTGTACATATATCATGTTTGCTTTTTTTAGTGGGTGTATAATAATGTGTTCAATCAACAATGATTATTGTTTACCATTGAAATAATAAAAGATTAATGTTTTCATTTCACTTTTGAGTGGTGCTTCACTCACGTATCATTCTATACCCAAATTTGAGTAGTTTAGTAGTGAGAGAATATGCAAAAAAAACTCTCACCCTCGGTTCAAACCCAAGCGTGGGGAGGAGCATTCACATGGATTTCTCCGGTCCTTTAGGAGATGTAGTCGGACCAAAGATCTGATGAACTTCCGGATTATAAAAAAAAAACTTCTGTACATGACAATCTTATGTGCATCTTCTTCGACCTCCATTGATATGGATCCAGTTTATTAATTTATATTAAGATTCGATTATTTTGATTTTATATGACCGTCACGTTTTTTTATTTGGTATTCGGTTCGATTAAGTTATAACCTGTTTGCGTTTTATTCGGTTTTGGTTTTTATCTAGAAAATATCTATTTTTAAAAAAAAAATGGTTGCTCGTTTATCTTTTTATTCGATTAGGTTTGGAATCGTATTTAGTTTTTCGATTTTAGAAACATTAATTAAACATTCGATTTTTTTTTTACCAATTTCGATCTATTTAATTAAACATTTGAATCGGTTCGATTATTTGGGGTACGAGAAATGACCCGCTTTATTTTTTCTTTCAAATATTTTAAAAAAATTTCCAATTCTTTTTTAAAAAAATTATGAATGCTTTTACCACTCCACTTTATATGAAGATTTCTCAAAATTAAAATTGGAAAAAATAAAAAAAGGTTGAGGGTGCTTTAAGAGGCCTAATACAGGCCACTATTATTGGGTTTGGGCCAGAAGAATTTTAATCTGTCGACGGTCCAATAACATGAGCCTATTACAAACTAGGGTTCCTTGTACAGAGCTAGGGTTTCCAAAACGGCCATATATATAGTTACCATCTTCCTTGCCTCGCGCTCTGAAACAACTTGAGGATAGCAGAAACGGTCGTCGTCGGCGGCGATGGGTCGTGTAATCCGTGCACAGCGTAAGGGTGCTGGTTCGGTCTTCAAGTCCCACACGCATCACCGTAAAGGTCCGGCTAAGTTTCGGAGCCTGGACTTCGGGGAACGTAATGGTTATCTGAAGGGTGTCGTGACGGAGATCATCCACGATCCAGGTCGTGGAGCTCCTCTCGCTCGCGTCGTTTTCCGTCATCCTTTTCGGTACAAGAAGCAGAAGGAGCTGTTCGTGGCGGCCGAGGGTATGTATACCGGTCAGTTCGTCTACTGTGGTAAGAGGGCATCTCTTGTTGTTGGCAACGTTCTTCCTCTTAGGTCCATTCCTGAGGGAGCTGTCGTTTGCAATGTCGAGCACCATGTCGGTGATCGTGGTGTGTTCGCTAGAGCTTCCGGCGATTACGCCATTGTTATCGCCCACAATCCTGATAACGATACCACTAGGTACGAATCTCACCGCTTTTCATTTGCTATATTTTGTTCGATATTCTGTTTTGTTTATTCTGATTTGTTGGAGTTTGTGAAATGGTAACGGAACTTAGAATTTCACATCCATTAATTATGTTCTGTGTCGGTTTGATATTATGAAATGGCAAAACCTCTGAATTCTTATCGTTTTCCCTTTTGTGGAAAATCTCACCGCATAATTTGTTCGTAGAACCTTATCTTCTCCCTTGTGCGGCCATTAAGCTCATTTGATTTCCAATTGTACAAAAAATTTCAATTCCTAATTGTATATTATATGAAAGTGTTTGCTCTGTGTAGTGCAACCTTTCAATATATTACCCAATTTGGGTAGTTAAACCAAAATGGAGATGCTTATGCCCCGAGTTTGAGCCTCAAATTGGGGAGGGGAGCGTAATTACAATCATGTGTCTTGCTTCCGGTCCCGGGATTAGTCTAGGTTTCGGTACAGGACACCCGGTTACCCAAAAAGAATCTTGCAATGCATTGACTGTTGTTATCGTTTGATGTGTATCGAACTTTTTTATACCTTTGTAATCCAATTGTGTTTCGCCTAGTTATATGCAATATGTCCTGACGAGCCATTTCTATCCATCTTTCCAGTTTTGAGTTTAGAACGCCCATAGGATGGGCCGTTAGTGAACCATATGGTGATTTTTTACGCTGTGTAGGATTGGCATGTGCATCTTGTTACAGTCATAAGCACTTACTGAGTGAGCTTTTGGGGATTTTTCACAGTTAGGTGCATGTTGTCCTGTAGAGATACAAGTAAATGGTTGCCATGAACTAGCAGTCTCTTATTATTTACGTGTAAGTTCAGTTAATAATTTCCCCATGGCAGGATCAAGCTCCCGTCTGGGTCAAAGAAGATTGTGCCGAGCGGCTGCAGAGCCATGATTGGCCAAGTTGCGGGTGGAGGAAGGACTGAGAAGCCCCTCCTCAAGGCTGGAAATGCATACCACAAGTTCAGAGTGAAGAGAAACTGCTGGCCGAAGGTACGTGGTGTTGCGATGAATCCAGTTGAACATCCCCATGGAGGAGGTAACCACCAGCACATTGGTCACGCCAGTACAGTCAGACGCGATGCCCCTCCTGGTCAAAAGGTGGGTCTCATCGCTGCCAGGAGAACCGGCCGTCTCAGAGGTCAAGCCGCTGCCACAGCTGCCAAGGCCGACTAGGCTTGATTGTTTCACAGGTAACAGTCTCCCCTGCTCTCTCTTGGTTTTGTTTATTGGGTTGTTACTGTTTTTTTTCTCAGAGGCTTTTTTAGGGCCACTCTCTCTTGTATTTTACTTTAGAACAAAGTTTTTGGACATTGGAACTTTGTTAACTTTTTGTCTTTGATTCTGTGGTATGAAGAAAGAGT